CTCAACATCCCGCACGTAAAATACGCTTCTTATTTTACTCGCTATGCAATGCCCCAGTGTCAAAAGAAATCGCTCACTGAGAAGGTTGTGATAGCTCCTTCCTTGAGCGAAAGTTTTCCAAAATATTTCCCAATCTCGATCCCTCGAATCCCACAAAGTTTTGGCAGCGCGCACATGCATTTTAGATTATTTAAAAGTTTTGGAGATTTGTGTTTACAGGATGACAAAACTGGAACGATCATTCGACAGTGCAACACGGAATGTGAGGCTGACGAAGTCGAGTATGATTCTGTTCAGCAAACTGACTTGAATAGCACCACACCGGACGACTTAAGTAATGAGGAGAGCAATACAGAGGACAATCAATTAGCTGGCGATTGTACGTTTCAGTCAATTTCTCTAGTGCGGATATTTGTTTTGCAGAAACTACGTGAGGAAATTTTCTTTGATTTGTATGTCGTTCTTCATCTTTATCTATTTCCCTTTGAGTATGATGCTGTTAAATTGTTAAAAGCGCATTCGAGGAGGTCCTGACCGCTTCAGCTTATTTTTTCAAAAAAGCAAAACAGTAACATTCGCTCCAACGCGATGTTCCTTTACGGAATCATAATCTTCGGCACCAATCAGCGTGGCAGCGATTTTAATCGATATTGCGATTAGAATCGCTGTCACGTTAATTGGTGCTGAAGTTCACGCTTCCGCAAAGGAACAGCTTCTATTCGCGCTTTCATACACATTTACCACATTTTACCGATTTCCCTTTCATAGCTCAAAATTCCTGCTGAGAGCAATAAATTTTCAGCAACTGCCACTTCGGTTATGGGGAAGTAATGATTCAAATCAAAAAAATCAAAATACTTTTCGTTTCCACCGTCTGCGAGGCGATGGCATTGGGAATTACGGCACTTACTGATAAAAAGTGTACTGATTTTGTGATGCCGAAACCCCGTTTCTAATCCCAACTACGTTTATGCGCTCCTATGACAGCACACATCCTTGTGTCGGTCTGAGAGAGTGTGCCTTGAAAACGGTTTAATTGGACTGCACCTATTTGCTGAATAGAAAAATCTGGACAGCTTTTGAATTTTGCATCATTTTTTGCATGCTTCATGTTCAGGCACACAGGACTGGACCAATTATTTTTGCATGGAATACCTGAACCTGCTGAATCTCTAATGACTTCGTCAAATATTCAAAGGCATTTCCCCTAATATCGTAACAGCGGATGTGAAAAGTATGAAGCTGTAATGGAGGAGAAAATCACCAGCTGCATAGATGGAGGAACAGTCCATTCAGCTGGTTCAGGTCTCCTAATATAGGCACGACATCGGTGAGGGGCGACACAGTCTAACAGTAGTTCGGGTTTTGTGGGCTTTTCTAAAGTCATCTGTGACAGCATCTGTTTTGAATTTATCATTAATTTCAGCGACGATACGTCTCGGAATGGGCGACTTCATTTTCTACAGCCTGCTTGTTGGCAAAGCAGCGGCGACACACAGCGCGCTTTGTGTCATTGGCTCAACGCTTGGCATCCTGGTTGGACTGGTAATCACATTGGTCGTGGTACCCTCTGATCAGGACACGGCCCCAGCACTGCCCATTTCAATCGCTCTCGCAATGCTCATACATTTTGCCACGGAACTGTTCGTTGAACCATTTTACAAACAAATCACTACCGAGAATTTACTACTCTGATTATCACTACCACCCTCACCTACCAAATAAACTAGTCTTTTTACGATTTACTGCTAATACATGCTTAATGCTACGAGGCCACTCCCTGTATGCTCAGCCATCATCGCGATGTTAGCCTCTACTAACAATGCTCGGCCGACAAAATATATCTGTGCTCTTCGACCAGCTAGGAAACTGCCGTGCTTCTACAACGCTCAGAACACTATAATAACCGCGTAAAAGGCCACCGTAATGATTTGTGTCAGTATCTGGACGGCAACAGAGTCTGCACACCAGACCGATGTTCTTGAATGCCCTGAGACTGTCAATCTAGTGGGACTCCTCAACGTCACCATTTCGACTGCAGACGTAATATTTCAATGCAAAACATA